GAGAGAGAGAGAGAGAGAGAGAGAGAGAGAGAGAGAGAGAGAGAGAGAGAGAGAGAGAGAGGGGTATTGAAAGGGGAGATCTGGATTCGGTTGGAGAAGGTGGACGGAGTGAGTTGTAAGAGAGTATGAAGGATCCAGCGGCGAAGACGGCGGAAAGGAGATCCAGCGTCAAGGAACCGACGGCGGGTAGTGAAGAAGCGATGCAGGACAGAATGGCAAGCATTGAAGAGGATCTTATGCAAAAGGTCTCCCTTTCTCTCTCTCATTAATCCATCATTCACCCCGAAGGACGGCAAACGGATGTCGAAATAACAGAAAAAGAGCGGCAAAGATATGTAGGGGAAAAAAAAAAGTTCAGCCAGAGAACTGCCCGGTGAACCATAGGGAGAAGGGAGAGAAGGACAGGCAATAGGGGGCTGTGACAGAGTTTCGTTGAAGTTTCAGCGACTCATCAGGAGGCTGAACCCTGTACAGTCTGCAGAGTCTTTCTAATCCATGTTACTTAAGTGATAATGAACCTTAACCAGAGTTGCGTTTAGGAACCCGCCGCTGCCCTCGAGTGTATAATATATATGTATAGCACTTACCGTGCATAAGACTGCTCAAGTAAAAAGACAAGATGTTTTATGTATGCAGTTGTGGGGCAGTAGTGGGAACGAAGCTGCAACTGGTGTAATGGTTGATTATCCCTTACAGTATCAGTGAGAGCAAAACCTCTCAAACCCGAAAAACTTCTGGAGATCCTATCACGCTTCCCAACCTGAATCGTGACCTAAAGCCAACCCTTAACCCATCCCTTAACCCAAACCCAAACCCAAACCCAAACCCAAACCCAAACCCACCCGACGACCTTCTGGAGATCCTATCACGCTTCCCAATCTGAATCTTGACCTAATGCCAGCCGCTAAACCCAACCCTTAACCCGAACCCAAACTCCAACTTGAACCCAAACCCAAAGCCAAACACAAACCCGAATTCAAACACTAATCTCAAACCCAACCCTTAACCCTTAACCCAACCCTTAACCCAGCCCTTAACCCTTAACCCATAACCCATAACCCATAACCCATAACCCATAACCCAACCCTTAACCCAACCCTTAACCCAACCCTTAACCCAACCCTTAACCCTTAACCCTTAACCCTTAACCCTTAGCCCAAGCCCAAACCCAAACCCAAACCCAAACCCTAAACCCAAACCCGAACCCGAACCCTAATGTTAAACCCTAATCTCAAACCGAAACCGAAACCCTAATCTCAGACCGGAACTGGAACCGAAACCGGAACCCAAACCCAAACCCAAACCCAAACCCAAGCCCAAACGAAAACCCAGACCCTAACCCTGATTCTAAAACCCTCAACCCAAAGCCTGAACCCAAACCCGAAACCCAAACCCAGAACCCTCGAAACCGAAATTGAGCTCGAGCCCCCCAATTCAGTGTGTTTTCTGGAAAAATTCCAAGGCCAAATTGCTACATTACCACAGAAACTTGCCTTATTTAGTGTACTGCCGCCATCTTTTTTCCCTTTTCAAAAGGGAGTGCCGCCTGACTTTATTTTGTACCTGACGGGATTTTAAATTCCTGATCTGAACGAAGAGAAAAAAGAAACTCCTGATCTGTTTATCGACAGTTACATGTCTGTATCCCTCAGCCACCTGACAGGTACTGCCACGATCTTGTGGACATGGCTCAGGGCCGTAGAACCCGTTTTCCTCCGTCAGGACGTGTCAAATTTGAGGTAAAGCTACTTGCCTAAGGGGCCGTACTCACACTAAAAGGCTGTGGGATTCTTGGACCACAAACACAGCCAGATTTTTTGCAAAGTTACGGAGTGAAGGTATCTCAAGAGTTGCGCTGGACCTTCCGTCGAAGTATGATGAGTCTTTGGGCACTCTGAATCGTTTGACTGTACATCAGCTAAATGTTGCGGCCTTGCCACACCACTGTCATAACGAAAAAGTACGAGTGCATCTTCCTGAGAAAGTGGCCAGATGCACTCGTTCCTGTTAATAGTATGGATGCATCTGGCCACTTCCTGCGGGATATGCACTCGTAATTTTTTTCATTTGGACAGTTCTGTGGGGAGGCCCTTGGTCCATGCCTTTTTGGAGTGATCCTTCTTGCCTGCTTCTGCTTCCTTGTTTCCTTCTGTCACATCCCAGTTAAGAATCTTAAGATAATAAAAAATAACTTTTGTTGTATCCATGTCAAGATTCAACACCCCAGATAATATAACATGAAAAATGCCTTTTTTTTCTCTTTTTTAAACCACTAGTACCTCCACCAGTGTTGAGAAAATAGGAAAAACTGGCAGTTTTCCCAAACTCCTTAAAAATCGGAGGCTGGGCCCGACCACGTCTGCGATTTATAAATCTGATCGGCGGCCGTCGTTTCGTTTTGGCCTCCTAAAAGGTCGGAGCCCCACCCAAGGCCCACTATTTTTGCACGCGGCACAATATTTTATCCTATCTGTTCATGAACCAAACCCCGTGGGCAAACTGGTGGTTTAAAGACGAAGCAAACTGCCGTTAATTTTTAACCACCAGTTTGGCCAAAGCTAAGTTGGCCTCTTACCCGTGAACACGGAAAGAGCGCACTCTTTTGACCTACTGGACCCAGGGGGTACAGGGGGTGTGCAAAACTTGGGACTATCCCAACTTGGGCGATTTTTAACTCTAATTTCGGGCGACAAAAGTTTTCCCCAAAAAAAACAGGGATGTTGCTTTGATTACTCTGAACTAGGGAATAACACAATATCAAAAATTAAATGATAATGGCTTGGCCGACCAAAAGAATATTTATGCCAAACCGAATGCATTTTTCAATCAAAGTCGATGTGATGGGGTAGGACGGACGTTTCATGCTGGGCAGGCTTGTGGGGTTTGGTTTATGGACTTTGGCTCGGGCAAACTGGTGGCTTAGAGACAAAGTAAACTGAGGTGCTTCACACGTGGTTAACAGGGGGGCTGTTATTTTCGGCGAATTCTGTACTGAAAATGTCATATTGCCCGGATATTTTTCTCTTTTTTTTTTTTTATTGTGTGTGATGTTTGTTTCCAGAGTTTTCCACTAGATTGCTTGTGATAATGCAGCGAAAACGGCGAATTTTCAGCCCTCCGTTAACTGCGGGTGAAGTGCTTACGGCTTCCTCATGTGTTTGCACTCACTTCTGTAGGTAGCTGCTGGCGGCAGCGACCACGAATTCCAGCCATTGATGAAGCAACTCAACAAGAAGATGTTACCTGGAGTCTGTTCCTCTCTTGCCAAACAGGTGTGATTTCTCTCCCGCTGCTTTTCCTTTGTTGTTCCCTGCATTAGTTCCCCTCTCTTCCGTTTTGTTGCACAGAGAGGACCCGAGAAGACGTCAGCAGCCAATGAGAACGTGCTGCCTCTGCAGCTCTTGCAGGAGGAGGAATCACTGAAGTACTGATTAACAGAGAGCCCCAGTTTCAGCACCTGGGTAATGGCTCTCCTGCTGAAATTTAGGTTTGGAGTTCGTTTTTTTCCCTTTCTCTTCGGCCTGTTTTCGGCTGTCATGATCCTTTCTTTCTTCTTCTTTTTGGGAAAAGGAGAGGGAATTCACTTGCAAATTAGTAGCAATTTCATAATAAACGGATTGAGGTTGGGAAAATTCCTCACAACCAACACGGAAGATATGAGGCACTGATTAACAGAGGGCTGAAAATTCACCTTCCGTTAACCGTGTGTCAAGTGCCACCAGGTAAACCAATCGAAATGAGGTTATTGCATACATTCCGGGAGAAGGCCATAATTTACAAGAGCACTCTATTGTTATGGTTCGAGGAGGTAGAGTCAAAGATTTGCCTTTGACCAGAACTTGCATTGGTTGTACTCTGTGGTTCTCTCTCCCTATGATTGTGGCAGTTTTGGCAAGGGACCCCTCCTTGCTCTTTTGGCACCTTACTGTACAAGGCACCCAACCAGCTATGGTGCCTGTGGTTTTCCTCAGTGCGTACTGATATGGTGCTGATCGACAGTGCAGTTGTTCCCCTTTTACACACCTGCTTTCAATAAGCGCTGTTGCAGCTTGGCGGCGACATGTGTCCAAGTGTCCTGTGACTGGCCCAGCCTCAACGTATATACAGTGGCAGGGTCCTGCGTCGGCAGGAACCTACCGGGCCCAGGCAGAGTTACTGGGTCCTCCTCCTAGGCCTATCAGGTCTGTACTTTTGTGGACCCGGGACCCAGCACCAGCTGGCCCTGTACTGCCTGCTTTGCGATCCAGGGGCCTCACATATGAAGGCATACTCACACTAGGACTTTTTGGACTGAGCTGTGGATGTGATTGCGATCAGATGCATCCAGGTCTGGCCGTAATTGCAGTCAGATACGTTCAGGAAAGTGCTCGTGTGAGAATGCCCTGAATCTCTTAAGGTAATCTTTTTTCCCTTCTTCGTCCTTTCTTTTTCTCTCCTAATCTCTTTCTTATGTTGCAGTTCATGCTCCTGTCTGCAGATCGAGCTCTGGTGCACAGTTTGAACTAGCTTTATGATTTGTTTGCTCAACTTTGTTGTTATTTGCGCAGGTCGTCTCTGCAGTCACAAAGCTTTCAGAGGATAACGGTCGGAGGCCGGACGGTGAAACAGATATGGACATGACCCCTTCGAAAGCAAAGGAGATGTCACATGTGAGTCCATTGGAAACAAGGATCTGGCAAAACTATTTTTTGATCTACAGACAAATTCCATTTTACAGTTCGGTGCTTGTTTACTTCATCTCTGTTGCTCTGTTTCCTTGACCCGTAATTTCCTTCCTTCTAATCGTAAAATTGCCTTAACACTTAACAGTCTGTGAATGGGGGGAGTCTTAAAGGAAAATATTAACAAGACAGTTTCTTAACAGTTTCCTTAACAGCCTCCTTAACGAATTGTTTCCCTTTACGCAGAATATCTTTCGGATGGACTTTCTTTTTCTTCGAACAATTTCCTCATCCTGTTTCGTGTGAGCGATTTCCCTGTCCTCAGAGATTCCTTCTTCACAATTTCATCCTGCATTGTTTGCTTCAACGTGGTTTGATCTTGTGGACTCCTTGTTCTTCTGAACATCCGCAGATGTGTTCCATTTAGCCTCTTTTTCCCCCTTCTAAACACGAGTGCCATGGACCTTATGTTGTTGTTCAATCTAAAATTTTCTGGTACTAAACAAATTGAACTAGTCTTGTTTGTCCAGTTGCTCCTTCTGTCAAAAGTTTTGCATTTTATATGGGACGCTGGACCCGGTTTCCAGCAATAGCTGAAGCTGCTGTGCTTCTCGCTGCAGCCCCAAGGACGATGACAAAAACACCGCAGCCATCAGTTGGATACCATCTTTGCAATGTACCCCTACCGGAAGCTGCCCAACTTTGCAAAATGGCCCGGCAGTTGCCAACTTGTCGTAGGTGCAATTGGATCGACCTTAGTCAATCTTCATTAATTTATTGATTGATTGATTGATTGAATAACGGCAATGGACAAATAGAAAAGGAAAGCGAAATAGAAAGCAAAAAAAAAAAAGACACAAAGAAAAAAAAGTCGTTCCTCTTCCTCCAACGACCTTCTCC